CGCATCAAAAGCACAGGTAAAGTGCAGATAAAGCGCAGTAAAAAAACGTAGTCAAAGCACAGTTAAAGCACAGTCCACGCGGCAAATTTTAATTGAATAAATTCAGATCTATTTTTAAGTCCGCTGTCTCGACCTAATAATTTTCCAATGGGAGGAGATATTTCAATGAGAGTTTACTGAATTGTAGTAATATATAATATATTTAAGAATTTCTTTTGGTAAAAAAATTAATATAATATATTTAAAATATTTTTAAAGGTTTAATTGAGTGTATTATGATTATTGGAGATTATTTTTTTATATTTAATTTGAAATAAAATTTATTTAATAAGAAAATATGAGAATTATAGCAATATGGTTGCTTGCCCGTGCTAGTGAGGTAGGGTGGTGTTTGGTGACGACGACGATTTCAATCGCGGTTGGTGGTTGTAGTGGCGGCATATTTTTAAAGCATTTGAAATTTGATTGGTTGAGTGAATTTCAAATTCATTGAAAAACGAACTAGATAAAATATTTCAAAATTTTATGATGCGTTAGCTTTTCTTCCAATCAAAGCATCTAAATATTCAAATCATTGGATTTGATTTAATATACATCTGATACATCATAAAAAATCTTCTTGATCAAACACAAACCTCGATGCATATTTGGATTGAAAACTTTTAAAATTAAATTCAAGCCATCCAAACTTTGATTTCAGACAATTTAGTCAAAATAAATGTCTCGGCAAGACGAACCCAACGATATAAGAAATAATCAATCTGAACCCAAATGAGTCCAAATCAAGCACTTGAAGCACAATTGAAAACTTCATTACAATAGTTGAATGAACTAAAGATCTCCAACATTTGCATGCTTATACCCGAATTGAGCATCTCAATAAGACAAGTCCAACAATCCAAGATCCCTTTACCCCGACATTATTAAGGCTCTTAAATACTGAAGGAATGGTTTATGATTGAGAGAATTAATGTAAGTCATACAATGGAGTATTATTGATTTTTGCTATATTTATAGGGCATGACTCTCTATCTATAAATGGACTTTCACTCTCTATATAATGGTAAACATTGGACTTAGAGTTTGGAATTGGGCTTGATATTCAAGAGAGCTCAAAGGCTAAAAAAATTTCAAATCTCCACTCGAGCATAATTGTTAAGCAACCGTCCGAGCGTCATCGTCTAACTGCCACTGTCTAACCTAGGGATTTATGTGAGCAGAGCGGGCTCGAGCTCAACTCGTTTATGGGCTCACAAGCCGAGCTTATCGAGCTCATGAGTAGAGCTCAAGCTCAATCAAACTCGAGCTCATTTGAGACGGACACAGGTGCGTGGGAGTTGGGAAGGACATATTTGCTTTAATTAAAATAATATATAAAATGTATTATAATATATGTTAATGAATACATTCGGTTGCTCATTAATAGCCGACTATAATACTTAATGCCTCGTTCCAAGTGACCGCTGCTCCAAATTTCGCAATATTGGTGAACACAGGTGGGAAAATGAGAAAATCGGACACAAGTGAGAGAAATGAAAAATCGGACACAGGTGGGAGAAATGAAAAATCGAACACAATCGGAAAAATGAGAAACTAAATTGAGCGGCTTGCAAGCCAGCTCGAACTCGATTTTAATGGGACGAGCTTGAGTTTGAGCTCACCTTTTGAGATCGACTCGAGCTCAAGCTTGCTTTCCGTCTAACGAGTTGAGCTTGATAGTGCTAAAACTCGACTCAACTCGTTTATACCCCTAGTCTAATCATAGCCTGACCGTCGCTGTCAAACCATCACCTAATGACCACCATCAAATCGCTTGACCACCATCGTCGAAACATAGCATAATCACAATCCTCCAATCATTATCATCTGAATACAGTTGTCTGACCACCTTCATCTAAGTGTGGCCCTCGGGCAGACCACAATGTCCCAACTATTGCCTCAATCCTCATATTGCTATCACTTGACTACGATCCTTTGACCTTTATCAATCGACTATAGTCCTTCATTTTGTTGCTCAGTAATCTTCCTTCGACCATCATTGTCCATCTATAATCCTCCAATCACCATCAACCAACTACAACCCTTTAACAATTAACCACTATCATCTTATGATGGTCCTTCGACCACTGCATCTTATCTATTGTCTTATGTCCTCTATTGCACGACTACGATCCTATAAACATTGTCGCCCTATTGCTATCCTCCAACCAAAATGTCCCTACGTCACCATTGTCAAACTATAGTCCTCTGACCTTTATAAGCTAACTACAATATTCTGACTATCATTAATCGACTGCGGTCCTTTAGCGCCCCGTCTCTTGACTATAATATTCTGACCACCATTATTTGACTACGATAATCTGACCTTCGTTGTCAAACACAATATTTGATCACTATCGCCTAACTATGATCCTCTCTCATAATATTTTTTTGCCATTGTTGCCTAGCTACACCAACTCTAGCTAACCTATTCACTTACCATCACAAATAATGTCAATGTTTGCCATTGTTTGTAAAATCGACGCATGCCATCAACACCAATTCTAACTCTCAACGTCAGCATTGGATTTTATGCTAGACTAATTGGCCTATGGATTCCTCTTCTCAAAGGAGTACAATAAAACAAACAAGAAAATGATTTCTTGAAGACATCTCCCAATCCACAGAGCTCTTCCAACTTCAATCACATAATATTTTATATATATTGTATTTTTATTACATTAAATCAATGCATTTTCTTGAGGAAGAACATCATTTACAATTGATGACAAATACTACTAGAATTGTTTATAATTAGATAGGCCTCATAATAAAAAAAAGAAAAAGAAAAAAAGAAAAGATAGGCCCGCTAGTATTTCCATTTCTTGGTTTTTCACATAAAAGCTCTTGAGTTTCTTACTTGTACTCTCTTATCTTTGTGTTTAGGGGTGTCAATATTTGACTCGACCCGAAACCTAACTAAAAAAATTTTGGGTTCGGATCAACCCTCAAACAATTTAGCAAACGGGTTAGATTCATGTTCAATATATTGACCTATTTTTAAAATCAGATTGGGCTCGAGTTGACTCGAAAATCCAAAGGTGACACGAATACAACCCGATTTTAATTAAAACCTAGGGATTAAAGCATGCGACACAGCTTGGCGACTGACTCGTTCAGTCGTTCTCATTCTCAAACTTCTATTTTCAACTTTGTTTGTTTTCTTCTCGCTCATTTTCTCTCGTCGGTTCTTCAATATCTGTCGGTGCCTACAAGCTACATCTCACAACCTCTAGAGACTTCTCCAACGAACTCTCAATAATCCAATAATTTTTACATTTTTTTCTCTCTTTGCCTATTTTACATTTTAAGGTTTTTAACTATTTTCGTATTGATAGTTTTTGAACTCATATGTTGGATGTAATTCAAGATTTTTCACCTCAATTTTCACATACATGCTAATGCCAACATCCTTTAAGAATTTTAGTTTTTTTTTTTTTTTTAAGTTTTAGGGTATATGATTTATATTATGCTCTTTGCTCTAGAAATTATTATTGAATTGTTACCACTTTTTCTCAATGTTCTTTGCAATTTAATATGTATGTTTAGGTTGCATGTTGATAGTTGTGCTGAAGACATGATTTCTTTTGCATCAACAAATCATAATTCAAAGAAATATTTTACTTTGTAATTATGTTTAATTTCATTTGTTAGATGGAGGACTCCAATACCATCATTGAAAGTACTTCTTTTCTTGAAAATGTACGAGTTTTTAGTGATAGAGAATAATGAATTTGATGATGTTGATATTGGTGATATCAATGGAAAAGAAAAATATGGGGTAAGAGTTCTTAAGAAAACAAAAAGGATGACCGCCATTGTATGGGGTCATTATGAGATGTTAACCCTAGCTGTTGATGACAAACAAACATGAAAATGTAGAAAATATGGCACAATTAATCAATGTGACAGTAAGAATGGGACAAATAATTTAAAATGTCATTTGCATGTTTGTAAGAACTAAGAAGAGGAATATCCGTGATATAGGCCAACTAATTTTGTAGTCGAATTCTAGCTCACATATTTCCTTGTCCGATAGTGAGTTCGACTACCAAGAGTTACGTGATCTATTCACTGCTTGCATTATTATGCATGACCTACCATTTCAGTGTGTTAAAAGAGTCGGTGTACGTGCATTACTTGAGGAATAAAGGGAATTATTACATGATCTACCAAGAAAAGACGGTGATAGTTCAGTCAATAGGAGTACTGTTAGTCCTTGAGAATTGAATAGAATTGTTAATGCAATTGTGTTGTAAAATAAACTTAAACTAATTGACTATCTATGCCTATGCAGGCATCTAAAATCTGAATGGTTGTGTACAAAGAGGAATTTCTACTGCTGACTGCTAGTTGCAGATTTTGCTAGCAGTCTAAGAGAACATTCCTTCAAATCAGTCTAAGAGAACATCATCACTAAGTGGTCACAACTTGCATCACAAAATAAGATTACTATGTATGAGAAGATAAGCATAAACTACATTACTGATTCATCACCAGTTCATCCCTAAGCTAATCTACATATTGAGATTGCGTCAGATTCCACAATCAGGATCCTATAAATATTTTTCATAAGTTTCTAACAAATGCTTAATACTAAGTTAAATGTTGCAGAGATGAGGATGTTCAGGTGGATGAGTGGCTTTACCTTTAGAGATAGGATACGAAATGAGCATATACATGAAAAGGTTGGAGTAGCTCCAGTAGAAGATAAGATTAGAGAGAGTCGCCTTAGATGGTTTGGTCACATTAAACGGAGGCCTTCCGATGACCCTGTTAGGAAAGCAGATGTATTAGATTTAACTTATGTTAAGAAAGGTAGAAGTAGACCTAAAAAGACTTGGCTAGAAAATATTAGAAATGATCTTTCTTTATTAGATTTAAACGAGAATTTGACTTTTAACTGGACACAATGGAGAAAAAAGATTCATGCAGCCGACCTCACGTAGTGGGACAAAGACTTGATGTTGTTGTTGCTTCTAACAAATGCTTGTATGATAAAAAAAAAAAGCAACTTTATCAAAGTATTTCCACTCTCCACAAAACAAATCTTCAAAGGAGCTCAGAATCCCTGCACTGATCACACACAAAACCAGCAGAGGACAAAGCTTGAGCATTCAAGTCTTGCCTGCAGCATGAAAATGGAGTTTTAGTACAAAAATAAAAAAATTTGTACTAAAACTCCGTTTTAGAAAGCAATAAAAAGCCGTCCCAAACGAAGCCTAAGTCAATGCACTTGTGTAGTTTACAACCCTTTGAGATGAATGCTATGGATAAACTACAGGAATATAATGACTCAATGAGATTTTGTTGCTTTGAAATGCCATGATGTTATATTATAAGTTCCTATAATGGTATAGTATCATGTAGTGAAAGGTTGTTTGGGTTTGTGATTGATGGTTATAATTTATAAATTGCTATATATCGTGTATACGTGATTTTTTATGATTGTGCAATCAAAAAAGTAATTCTTCAATTTTGATGATGATGAATGATGAGCACCACTTCTTTTCAATGTTCTTTGCTATTTAATATGTATGTTTAGGTTGCACGTTGATAGTTGTGCTGAAGACATGATTTCTTTTGCATTAACAAATCATAATTCAAAGAAATATTTTACTTTGTAATTATGTTTAATTTCATTTGTTAGATGGAGGACTCCAATACCATCATTGAAAGTACTTCTTTTCTTGAAAATGTACAAGTTGTTAGTGATGGAATTGAAATTGAAGTAGAGATTAATGAATTTGATGATGTTGATATTGGTGATATCAATGGAAAAGAAAAAGATGGGGTAAAAGTTCTTAAGAAAACAAGAAGGATGACCTCAATTGTATGTGGTCATTATGAGATGTTAACCTAGCTGTTGATGACAAACAAATATGAAAATGTAGAAAATACGGTGCAATTAATCAATGTGACAGTAAAAATGGGACAAATAATTTAAAACGTCATTAGCATGTTTGTAAGAACTAAGAAGAGAAATACCCGTGATATAGGCCAGCTAATTTTGCAGTCGAATTCTAGCTCATCAATTTCCTTGGCCGATGTTAAGTTTGACCACCAAGAGTTCCATGATCTATTCACTGCTTGCATTATTATGTATGATCTGTCATTTCAGTGTGTTAAATGAGTCGGTGTACGTGCATTACTTGAGGAATGAAGGGAATTATTACATGATCTACCAAGGGAAGATGAACTTCAACTAGTTGACTATCTATGCCTATGCAGGCATCTAAAATCTGAATGGTTTTGCACAGAGAGGAATTTCTACAGCTCACTACTAGTTGCAGCTTTGCTAGTGCCTAGCAATGGGCCAATGACTCGTTCTTACATCTTTACTTTATACTTTATTGGTTAATTTGCTGCTACTACCTTTATTATTATTTATTAAATTTATTTGCTTCTGCTACTGCCTTTAGTATTATCTATTTGCTGTTGCTACTGTCTTTAGTATTATCTATATACTGGTTTAGTTGCTGCTGCTACAGCCTTCGTTATTATCTATTTATTAGTTTGTTTGCTGCTGAGACTGGCTTCAGTATTATCAATTTCCTATTTTATTTGCAGCTGCTACTGCCTTTATTATTATTTATTTGTTGCTGTTACAGCCTTTACATAAGTTTAAGCTTCATTTGGGACAATTTTTTTATTGTTTCTTAAAGCAATTTTTTAATAAAAAAATTAACCGTCACAAATAAAACCTTACTCAAATAGCATGACAGCATTTATGCAAAAGAAAAAGAATTTACATTCCTTCAAACCAGAAAGTCATCTAAGGAACATCATCACTAAGTAGTCACAACTTGCATCACAAAATAAGATTACTATGTATGAGGAGATAAGCATAAACTACATTACTGATTCATCACCAGTTCATCCAGATTCCACAATCAGGATCCTATAAATATTTTTCATAAGCTTCTAACAAATGCTTAATACGAGATGAGGATGCTCAGGTGGATGAGTGACTTTACCTTTAAAGATAGGATACGAAATGAGCATATACATAAAAAGATTGGAGTAGCTCCAGTGGAAGATAAGATTAGAGAGAGCCATCTTAGATGGGTTGGTCACATAAAACGGCGGCTTTCCAATGACCCGGTTAGGAAAGTAGAGGTATAAGATTTGAGTTATGTTAAGAAAAGTAGAGATAGACCTAAAAAGACTTGGCTAGAAAATATTAGAAATGATTTTTCTTTATTAGATTTAAACGAGAATTTGACTTTTAACTGGACACAATGCAGAAAAAAGATTCATGTAGACGACCTCACTTAGTGGGACAAAGGCTTGATGTTGTTGTTGCTTCTAACAAATGCTTGTATGATAAAAAAAAAAACAACTTTATCAAAGTATTTCCACTCTCCACTAACCAAATCTTCAAAGGAGCTCAGAATCCCTGCACTGATCACACACAAAACCAGCAGAGGACAAAGCTTGAGCATTCAAGTCTTGCCTGCAGCATGGCCTATTACATGTATCACATTTTGGGAGCTGAAGCCAGCAGCCAGCACACAACACATGTGGGCAGGCTGTATCCTCTCCAAGCTCATCTTCGTCGACGCAGCCTCCGCATTCCTCGCACCTTGCAATGCAGAAGAAGCAACCTCTACATTGGCTCCACCTGTTCCTCATTGTCCTGCAGTTTGCATTATATCAAATGATTAAGAGCAGTGGAAGCTAGGCAAAAAGAGTTCTGAAGTTAACAAGCAAGCTTGTTGAGGATCAGCATTTTAGATGTGAAGGTTCCTCCTAGCAACTGAGGAAGAATGGCTAGCTACATCGAGAGGGTAAGCTGGACTTTGGGTTAGCTGCAGGATAATGCTAGTAATATAAGAAATATTTTCAGAAGGAGAATATTAAGCTAAATAACTTATTAAATTTAATTTAGAATTAGAATTCACTTATTTTTTCCACCAGAAAAGCTTTTGTGCTGTACAATCTACACGGTAATACAACCCGTCTATATTTCTTTAGGTTATTTGGTTTCTTTCGTTTCTACGCTTATAGATATTCCAGGAGAAAACAATACAATATACAACCTCACCGCAAAAATAAAGAGTTTTTAATATATTAGGGTTTCATTTGGGATGGCTTACTGCTTTCTGAAACAGCTTTCTAGTAAAAAAAATTAATTTAAGAAATTTTCGTATTAAAAATATGCTTTAGAAAGCAATAAAAAAGTTGTCCCAAACAAAGCCTAAATGTCATATCAATGGAGTTCAAGCTAGGTTATCCTCAATTTGAAATCAAAGATTTCAAATTCAACTCGAGCAAAGTTCGTTTATGCAATAAAGATATAGTGAGTTCAAGATAACGTTCTCCAAATATATGATTATAGTTGTAAGAAAATACTGATTTATGGAATACAGGTTTCGTTTGAGACAACTTTCTTACTATTTTTCAAAGCAGTTTTTTAATATAAAATTTTTTTAAACTAGATATTTTTGTATTAAAAAATCTGTTTTAAAAATTAGTAAGAAAGTTCTTCCAAACAAAGCCTAGTTAACCATGATGACGCCTTTTACTAGTAGCATGCTTTTCTTTTAGGAAAACCGCCTACCTTTTCAACTTAGTTCACCATATATGACAAAATCCCAATTTAGAAAGATAAATATTGTTTATTATACAAAGTAAAATTACTAGGTTAGCAAATTAGCTAAGATTAAAAAAAAAGGTACCAACCTGCACTCCTCTCTGGTGCAATCAAATACCATCCCCACATTCTTGCACTTGGGGCAGATATCAACATCAATTGGACGTCCATCATCACTGTCAAGAGCAAGGGAGCTCCAACCGCTGTAGAAAGATGCATGAAAAGCTTCTTGTTGTTTGTTTTTGCACAAGAGAGATTTCAGCACGTTAAGATGTTCTCTTTTTATGTTGCAGAGACCGTTGAGTCGAAGACATTCAAGATGGCCCTTATGCTCAGCCAACCGCATGACAGCTCTCACAACACCATCTGCAGTTAAAGCCGTGCAACCAGGAATACACAGCTGCTAAATGTTTTCAATGTTAAAAAACTCAAAATGTATTCATATAACAGAAAAAAATCTGTATTTTACCATAATATTCTTTTCTTGCTTTGCAATCAACAATTAGCCATTGTCAAGCATATCGATACGATTCATTTTCAAATGATCTTTCATCAATAAAGATGTGACATGTCCTTTAAATAATAATTTTGCTGTCAAATGGCATCACATGCAAACAATTACGATTGGGCCCTCTAACTGGGTGGTTTTGCCTCAAATGCCATGATTAAATTACGTAACATCTAGAGCCCGTAAAATTTCCAATGGCTAAAAACCCTTTGAGTGATAGATCATTAGGTACACTTCATAGGATACAAAGTGCTGAGGAAGCTGTATAGAAAGAAAAGAGCATAACACAAAAAGGCAAGAAATAGAGAACCAAAAGGTTTAGAAACCTGTAAAAGTGTTCATAATATTCTCTATTCTCCTATGAGCCCAATTTCTCTCTGTATATTTCTTAGGAACTATATTTCTAAAAAAAAAAAAGGAAAATGATATACTATAGTCCTTTAATTAGTTATAGGAGCAGAGAATGATAAGTAGTGGTGGTATAAGTCGTAAGTGAAAGAAGCAAATAGGCCTGCGAAGCTCGTAGTATAACGTGAGTCCGCATCAGTTCTCCCCCACTTCAGAAGAGTCTGCACTCGATAATGTAAGTTTGGTAGCTGCTCCATTTGATAGATAGTAAGGAAAAATATCTTCAACATTGAAAGTGGCAGAACATCTAGTGGTAAGTCCACAATGTAGGCGTTATCATTAATTATTTGCTTAATTGCAATTGGGCCAGTTTTTCGGGGGCTGAGCTTCGAATAGGTTCCTAACAGGAATCTTTCTCTCCTTAATCGGACCATTACCAGCTCACATGGATGGAAGATCTTTGGACGACAGTGCAGATCAGTATTTCTTTTATAAGAGTCATTAGATTGCTCTAACTTGCTGTGAATATCTTCAAGCATTAGTTTAAAATTTTCAGCCAACCTACCTGCTGCAGCATTATGGCACTTTGGGATGATAGCTAAGTCCACTACGTGATTTGGTGTCTTTGTGTATACTATACTGAAGTGGCACATTCCTATAGACTTGTTAGGCATCTGAGTTGTAAGCAAACTCAGCTTGAATTAAGACTTCATCCCATTGCTTCGTATTATCCTGTACCAAACATCTAAGCATGTTGCCAGGTGTCCTATTTACCACTTCCATTTGTTCGTCTGTTTGTGGGTGGTATGTCAAGCTGAGCTTAATTTCTATCTTGAGCTGCTTCCAAAGCTCCCTCCAAAAATGGCTAATGAACTTCACGTCACAATCTAAGGTAAATACTTCGGGGCAACCCATGAAGCCGAACAATTTCATGGAAGAACAACCGTTCTACTCCAAAGGCGACGCACATTTTCTTATAAGAAATAAAATGGGACATCTTAGAGAACCTTTCAACCACAACTATGATAGAATCGGCGCCTCTCTTTGTATGAGGTATGCCCAATACAAAGTCCATGCTCAAGTCCTCCCAAATAGACATTGGGACCGGTAATGGTGTATAAAGACTTACATTCTAGCAAACTCCCTTGTAGACTTGACATACGTAACATCTTGCAACGAAATAAGTTACATCCCTCCTTAGGTGAGGCCAAAAAAATCGCAATTGCATCTGTTCAACGGTCTTCTCTCACCCCGGGTGTGCTGACAAGCCTCCTCCATGTATTTCTCTAATTAACTGCTGCCACCACACGGAGGACGAAGGGATGCACAGAGAATTGCCCTTGAACAAGAAACCGTGCCTCAATGTATAATTACCAAATGGCTTGTTAGTGGAACAATGTTCCCAAGGTGTGGAAAAATTCTTATCATGGCAGTACAAGTCCTTGAGTAATTCCAAACCAGATATCTCAGTTTGGAGTTTAATAAGCAAGGCCGGCCGTTTGCTACCAGATTCTGACTGTTGGATTTGTATTTCAGGACAAAGCTAATTTTTTTAAAAAATATTACCCACTGAGCATGCATCTGATTGATACTTTTTTTAGTATTCAAATACTGTAGAGCTTGATGATCACTACATAAAACAAAGTCCTGATGGAGCAAATAATGTTCCCATTGCTTAAGAGCTCTCACAACCGCATAAAGTTCATGATAGTAAACAGACCACTTTTTATCTCACGGGACTTAATTCTCACTAAAAAATTCAATGGGTTTGTTGTCTTTGAACAACACTGCACCAACTCCAATAACTAAAGCATCCGTGTCTAAATTAAACGGTTTGTTAAAATCTGGCATAGTGAGCACTGGAGTAGAAATTAAGGATGTTTTGATAGTTTCAAAACTATGTTGCTATTATACATTCCACATAAAGATTTATTGTTTCAAGCAGTCTGTAATAGGCACTATAATTACACTGAATCCACAAATAAATATTCGATAAAAGTTAGCAAACCCATGGAAGATATGAACTTCAGTAAGTGCATGTTGACGAGGACAATCTTTTATGGCGGTAACCTTGCAGGGGTCCATGCTAACACAATTTGCATAAATGATAAAACCCAAAAAATGAACTGATGTTGTGGCAAATTCACATTTGTATTTGTTTAAGTACAATTTGTGCTTGCTTAATAATGCAAAAACTTCCACTAGGTGCTTCCAATGGTCATCAGTAGACGGACTATAGATCAAGATATCATCAAAATAAACTACGCAACACTTACTGAGTAATGGTTTTAGAATTTCATTCATCAAGCACATAAACATGGATGGAGCATTGCATAAACCAAACAACATTATCTTCCACTCGTATAGGCCATCATGAGTCTTGAAAGCTATATTCCACTCATCATTGAGCCGTATCTATATTTGATTATACCCACTGCGCAAGTCCATCTTGGAGAATATAATGGCGCTTGTTAAATGATGCAACATATCTTTCAATCTTGCTACATGAAATTGGTATTTAACCGTAATCTTGTTAATAGTTCAGCTATCAATGCATATTCACCATGAGCCATCCTTCTTTGGTACTAATAAAGCGGGCATCGCACAGGGGCTTAGGCAAGGTTGGATCATCTGTTTTTGTATCAAATCATCAACAATTTTTTGAATGGTCTGGTGTTCGGCAAGGCTCATGTTGTAGAGCGGTAAATTCGGTAAGGTGGCTCCCGAAATTAGATGAATTTGATGTTGTATGGACCGCAGTGGAGGGAGCTAGTTTGGGAGGTGAATAGGGGCTACATCCAAAAAATTTGATAGTAGTTGAAGCACTTCCATAGGGTAATGGGAGGGAGGACTTAAAAAAAAAAATTTCTTCATCCATGAAGACAACAAACAACGCCTTGTTTGCACGCTCTGAATGTAGGAGCGAATTCCCAAAAACAACACATAAAGCAGGTTTCTCATTGTTGTCAGATACAGAGGCGTGTTGTGGATTAGGGAGCAAACACAACTTCCAGTTTTTCCATTCAAAAGTGTATGCATCTGTATGCCCGTCATACGTAATCCCCATATCGAACTGCCATGAACGCCCAAGGATAAGGTAACAAACATCCATGTCTAGGACATCACACAAAACTTCACAAGTATAGTGTTTCCAATCGAGAAATTCACCCTGCACATGTTGGATACTAGAATTTCCATGCCTCTCTTTACCCAGCTAATCCTATAAGGATTTGGGCTCTTTGTTGTCTTTAAATGCAATGCATTAAAAACATATCGCAAAATGATGTTTTCAGTGCAGCCATTATCAATTAAAAGGTCGCACACCTTATCATTAATCATGCACTTAGTCCCGAAGATGACATTTCGTTATGAAGCAACAGTCTGTTGTAGAGTCAATAACAACTTTTCCAGAATGCAGATTATCGGTTCTCCTTCATCCCCTTCGACCTCCTCATATTCATCATCAATATCACCTTCGGCTGTAGCATGATTGGCTTTGGATTCGCCTTCCAAGAGCTGTAGTTGTTGGCGATTTGGACACTCGTTAGATTTGTGGCCTGGTTGAAAGCACTTCATAGTGTTCGGTTTGGCATATGGATTATCATTGATCAGCGCCTTTGGTCTGCTTGCAAATTTGTTCTCAGTAACATGTTGAGCCTGTCTTGTAGTTGCATTGCTCTTGCTGATTGGTTTGGCAATTGTGGGAATGTGGTTCTTATTGTCAAATGTGGAGTAATAAGTGAAGTGTCACCGATTTGCAAAAACACAAGGTGGGCGATTCAACTATATCTCAGCCTTCAAAGCAAAGTTGAAGCATGTACAATGAACAAATAGAGTTCAGTTCCAACTTGTCTTGAATGGCTTCTTTCAATCCTCCAATATAACGAGCTACAATTTGATTGTTGCGGGCACTAAGGCGGTAGAATTCTTCCATACAATCACTAACGCTTCTATTGCCTTGATAACAATGCTCGTACTTCATATACAACAACAACACAAAATCAATGGGCAGGAAGCGACCCCAGAGTAACTATTTCATCCGTGACCAACTCCGAATAGATCCTTTACCTTCTTTATACCTGGTTTGTAGAATCTGCTGCCACTACGCACTTGCACCACCTCTCAATTTGCCAATTATATATTTAATTTGCTTGTCAGCAAGAATATCTATATATATTCAAAGAATGTCTCGATGAACCATTCCCAATCAAGGTAATCCTCCATATGTAACCTGCCGTCAAAGAATTGGATATCCATTTTTACAGGAAAGTCCCCTTGTGGCTTGGGTGGGCCTCTGACCCTACGCGGCCTTAAATAGGGAACTTCTTCGTCTGCAGAATCAGATATATCTCCCTGATGTTGGAAATTTGCTTCCATGTCTGAAGTCGTGAGTTCAGGTCTATCCACGCGCATCTCTAGATGTGGTTAACAGACGTTTTGCCTCGATGAAGACCCATTCAGCAGTCAAGTGAAGCAACTCAAGCGATGGGTTGCGTATTACCATCGCATTTTAGTGGAGAATGAGTAAAAATTGGCTTTAAGTTCATCTAGTTATATGAGTATACTTGATTGAGTTGTCAACATTGCGTTCTCGCTCTGATCGTCGTTAAGAGCATTTTTCCTGCTGCTTTCTGCCTTGTCAAACACCCTCATCAAGCTCTGATACTAATTTGTTGAGGAAGCTGTATAGCAAGAAAAGAACATAACACCAAAATGCAAGAAACATATAACCAAAAGGTTTAGCAACATGTAAAAGTATTGATAATATTCTCTATTCTCCTTTGAGCCCAGATTCTCTATGTATATTTCTTAGGAACTATATTTCTAAAAAAAAAAAAAAAATGTTGTACTATATTCCTTTAATTTGTTATAGGAGCAGAGAACGCTAAGTAGTGGTGGTATAAGTTGTAAGTAGAAGAAGTAAATAGGCCTGCGGAGTTGGTAGTAAAACGTGAGTCCACATCACAAAGCCCTCTGTTACATATATTTGATTTAAATTTATCCCCTTAAATAAATATCTACCCCCAGTCTCTAAGATTTCGTAAGACAAAGCAACTCAAGCTACCAACAATAATATTTCAGTTAGATTGGGTCGACTACCTCCTCTAGTTAAATAAATTAGGGATCATGATAACCCGTGATGATAGAATAATTGGATCTTGATCGAGACCATCACTATTCCCCCCACTTTCTGCTCTAAATATAAAGTGATAAATTTCAATCCTAAATCAATTAGCTGCTAGTATACACCTAGCACTTAGTGCCTATAGAATGATTAATCTTAATCAAAAAAATTTTTGGTTACCAAATGGGTAATCAACCATAGAGGCTTGTATCTATGAGAAATTTGGAACTACATCATAAAGTTCTCACAAAATGAGAGCAAAATATCTGGATAACATCTTATTTTCGATAAAAATAACCTTCTAAAAACTTGATCTAAAATACCTAAACTGTCTCAATTGAGGCCGGAGCACGTATTTTTTTTAGGCCGGGCATGTATTTTTAGGGCTCATACATGCAACGCAAAGAAAGAGCTTAGCCTTGATGGTTGCTCTCTTAATCCTTCAATCTTTTAGAGTTCTCGACATCCTTAAATTGGTCTAAAATCTTCTGCCTCAATTTATAGGCAGCTTCAAATTGCATAGTTATCTCATTTATAATTAGTGTTTTCTTCAGTATATTTAGTGTTTTGTTCGCATCACATCCACACAAATCCCATTCCAATCCTTTAGGATTCGCATATGATAGTCCACAACATTATAACTAAATTTCTCACAGTTTTTGTAGGTTTGTCTGCTAATATGAACCTTTATTTATACATAAAACACCCGAATACTAAATCCGTCTTCCAGATGTGTGAGTCTTTATTCGGAAAAACCAAAGACATTTAAATTTAAATACAATTAAATCAAATCAATAATTATCCAAAGAAGCATAATATTTAAATTCAAATATGGTAAACCGTATGTATCCAACAAAACAAACACACCTTGGTGATGTAGGGATTTTGATCAACAACGTGCAGGAGACTGGCGTCAGTGACCCGCCAGCAACGCAGCAATGCTAAGGATTTCAAATTTCCCCTCGCGAAGGATGTAATCCACAAAAGGAAGTCGTCACGAATCTTTGTACTGAGCGGCGGTTCGACGATGATGTGGCGCCACAGCGTCTCGTTGGCCGAGATCTCGTCGCTGAAAGCCCTGCACACTTGCCGACATGCGAGGCGATCCGGCAGCCGGAGATAGCCAAGGACGAAGAACAGAGCTCGGTGAGGTTCAGCAGCGTCGCCGGCTGGAATATTGGGGAAGACGTTCTCAGCAGTGGGAGGTGTTTCCATTGACAGAGTGTAGCAGCAGATAAGGCCGCCAGTGGTTAATGCATATCGACGAATTTTATACATTTAAATATGCGATTTTTAAATTTTTTATATTTATCTATATATCATATATTAATCTTTCAATTATATCAAAAAAAATATTAATATATTTTATACATTAGAATATTAAACTTAGGGATTTAAATATTATATAAAAATTTTCTTGTTATGTATGATAAATTTCCCAACTATGGTCAATAATTTTGTGTCTACAAAACTTAAATTTTAATCAAAATTGGTCTAAGGGGTCATTTGGTTTGCTAAAAAGAAGGTAATGTGAAAGCAAAGCAATATAAAATAAATTTAATGTATTTAATTTAAAATTATTTAGTTGGGAGTAAAATAAATTTAATAGATTTTTGGGTTAGTTTAGAGTAAATCTCAGTGAACGAGCAATAATCAATGTTAGTGGCAACTGTCGGCGACTAGTGCCAAGCTGTCGGGGCTAGCTAGCAAGAGCCACGGCACATTAAGTTTTTGTTTGGGACGACTTTTTTAATACTTCTTAAAGTAGCTTTTAAGTACAAAAATTTTAACTTTTGTATTAGAAAGCTATTTTAAGATGCAACATGAAAGCCGTCCCAAACGAAACCTAAATAACTAGAAGAATTTGCAGTATGTTTAACAATAGATCAAATATAATTATTTTTAAATACATCAAATTCTTATATTGCATTTGAAAATCACCCAACTAAATGCTTAAATTTTGAAATGCACGAATTTAGAATGTTTTTTTTTATTATTATTTTTAGAATGTATTACACTATAAATGCATTTAACCAAACGACACCCAACTTTGCTTGATTTTGAAGATAACTTTTTCAAAATTAATTTAAAAAGCATTACACTATAAATGCAAACAATCAAATTGCAGCCATATTTGCTTGATTCCGATAATTTTTTTTTCAAAATTAATTCCAACAATTTAAATATAAATATAGAAACAATTAAATACTATAGAAAAAAAAATAATTATAAGTAGATAAAAAAAGAACCTTTTTTTTTTTGGGAAAGATAAAAAAAGAACTTGATAAGAGCCGAAAAATTACTCTGATATTGAGCAATTTTCAAACAAAAATTATGTTCCATTAAAACCTCCATTCAAGCTGAATTTCTTAAGAAAAATATAATGTTTGAAATCTATTTAATAAGAGTTTTCAATTAGTTGAATACTAAGGCTTCCTTTCTTACTACTTAAAACAATTTTCTAGTATAAAATTTTTAATTTTTATACTAGAAAGCTATTTTAAGAAGCGTAAGAAAGCCATCCCAAATGAAGACTAAGCCTTCGTTTGGGACGGCTTTCTTTCCGCTTTATAAAGTAGCTTCCTAGTACAAAAATTTATTTTTTTACTAAAAAGTTGCTTTAAAAAGCAATACGAAAACCTTCGTTTGGGACAATTTTTCTCTGCTTTAAGAAATAATAAGAAAGCCCAAATTAAGCCTCCATTTGGTACGGCTTTTTTATTGTTTTTTAAAATAATTTTCTAGAATAAAAATTAAAATTTTTGTACTAAAAAACTACTTTAAAAAATAAAAAAAAATCATCCCAAACGAAGCATAAATGTAATATAATTGATTTAAAAAAACAATGCTGAAATCCTGCAAGAAACAATTCAATATATACATACATGGTGCGTGATAAATACATTGCATTTAAATCATTTAATTTACTTGAGAAAGATATAAAATAAATTTCGTTTGATTGCTCGGATCAAAATTACCTGAACGGTGCTTTTGGAAGTCCACAAGCATGCTTTTGTGCAGAGAAACATAGAACAAACGATTCTTAGAGTTTGAAATGCATTCTGAAATTACATCAAATGTTTCATTTTAGCTGATGATGGTACCATTAAGAAACAGTTCAGACTCACTGTATTTAGACGCAGAGATATATAAATATATTTGCTTGCAAACCCGAAAGTTGGCTGCGTTCATGGCCGCTGATGATCTAAGGGTTCCACAGCTGTCCTGAAGAGAAGAATGTAAACCTTTTCGATCGAAAAGTACAAGAAACCTCCCAAAGAATGTGTCACGTAAGAACCAAAGCTCGTACCCACAATGCAATGCCATGCTGGGCCATATGAAGAATCAAATTCCTGTAAACACGAGAAATTAAAGCAACCATCAATGTAGAACAGACAGTAAGTGCAAAAAGAAAACAGTGAGACAATAAGGGAAAACAGGAGAACCAACAATTAAAGGACACCTGGAGGTTGATCAATGGGGAATGGGCAAGCAATTAAGTCGGACAGCATCCGACAGCCAACCAGAACGCGCCACGTTACTTTTTTGCTCGGTACTGGTGCTCGGTACTGCTGTGTACCGGATGCGGTGGCGGGTTCTGATTGGCCACCAAACCATCCGGCGTTCGCACAGAATAATTTCTCAGCAATTAAAGTATGCATGTAACTCCAGATAATTATTGGAAAGTGAGGGAGCAGTTAAAGCTTCTTCATTCATTATTTTTGCATAACCCTAATGCTTCTTAAGAAGGGAGCATTTCTAGTATTACAAAAATCATAAAACACCTATTAACTATCTAGTACCAATCTAACTACATTAATTACCTAACAATTTACTGAAAATTTTCACCATATTATCCTAGATTCATTAATTTTTCAAAATATTTCTGAACTTTGAAGTTTCATCATGTTATCCTAGGATATAATTGATTGTTTTTTGTATACTCTTTAGATATATATCCATGGCTATTTCCTTATATTACGTTATCAAGTTTTCAGATAAAATAATCTTATGATCTTTGCAAGGTTATTTTTTTCTTTTAAAGAATATATATATTTGATTTGGTGACAATTTTTTGAAGTAGCCAGATATTCTTCACATTTCCTAAAATATATAATAGCTATTATAAGATCATAGACCACTGTGAAATCAGTTACAGTTTTTTTCCATTATATTTCAATCTCCTATTTCATAAACCACCATGAATTCTCTCATATCCCATTCCATTACAACATATAATTCAATTTATATTGCCTCTAATAACCATCATTTCTTCATTAGGCACACACGATAGTCATTCATCTACTTCCCAAAATTACTTTTTTTAATTATCATCTAATCAGTCTGAAGAAGAATAAGCACAAACTACATTCATAATATCTTCACCGATAATTATCTTAATCTTCAACTATTTATCTATTGATATTTTTTTTCATTCCAATTAATTTCTTGAAAATAGATAATAATTATTCTCTTCTTATCATATTGTCTTCTTCTCATTCAAAGTTCTCAAATTCTATATGATAAATCCAAACTTATATTCAAACAAAGTCAACCTTGCTTAATTTTTGCTACAGTTGAGTAAACTTGTGACGCATCACTTGAACCGTGTGTCCTAGCATATAGCTTCGCTTTCCTTTCACCACAATCAAATTAAATTGTGGTGCGCAAATATGGATAATGTCTATGCTCATCTTTGTTTACTTCTCACCACTTCAATGTTTATCACATAGAATTTAAAAGTTGCAAAACACCATCATTTTTGCATAAATAAATAAATTAAAAAAAAAAACGGTTCCTACTCAATGATATGCGCTTTTCTTTTAAGCACAAAATAGCTCAAAAATATAAAATCTATGTCATGAATTATGATATAACAGGGAATCCTTTCCAACTCAATGAACAAATATGAACAGCATTATATCAATGGTAACAATGTATCAGCAGACTTGTATTACAAAATTCAAAATTTATGGACCAGGTTCAACCATAAACAAGAAAAAAAAGGAAGCATAAACAATTATTAGGACTCGAGCAATAAATAAATTAGCATACTTAGTGACAAAAATCAAACATAATGTTACCTTGTTGAGAATTGCAACTTCACCCCCAAATGAGATTTAAGAGGAAAAACTCCCTCCTCCCCCCCCACCCCACCCC